AAAAAAAAAAAAAAAGAAAGAAAAGGGATTGTGAATCTCTCTCTTGTCCTGATCAATTGACAAAAATGTATGAAAAGGCTTCACAAACTAAAAATTAGTAAACCGTGAGATAGTCTTAAATAACATGTTATATAATTCTGTACAATGGGAGCACCGAGCAAGTGATTTTTTTTTTTTTTCTGGGCTGCATGAGGGTTGAAAGATATCATAAGGGAAGTAAACTTTGAACTGGGCCTTGAAGGATGAGTTGAATTCCTCACTTCATAGAGAAGCTGTGGAAAAGACATTCTGGGCTGTAAGAAAACTGTATGGAAAATGTGCAGAAAAAAATGTCTTTAAACAGCTTGAGCACATGAACTTTGTCGGCTTACAGAAAAACTCTGATTATCTGTGAAAATGCAGGAGAGAAGCACTGTGGATAATATAAAGGACAGCTAGTCAAAAATTCACTTGCTCTGGGCAGGATTTTTCTTTTTTTTTTTTCTTCTTTTTTGAGACAGAGTCTTGCTCTTGTCGCCCAGGCTGGAGTGCAATGGCACAATCTCGGTTCACTGCAACCTCTGCCTTCCAGATTCTCCTGCCTCAGCCTCCCAAGTAGCTGCGATTACAGGTGCACACCCAGCTAGTTTTTGTATTTCTAGTAGACGTGAGGTTTCTCCATGTTGGCCAGGCTGGTCTCAAACTCTTGACCTCGTGATCCGCAGGATTTTTCTTTGGAATGCAGACTTAATACACAGGTCGAGAGTGAGACATTACTATCTGGGCTGGTGCCTCCTTGCTTAGTCTGGTAGGAAGGCCATGGTGCCCACCTGTTAACAGTCCCTCCATCTCCCCATAGGGCAACTGCAACCGGTCCCAGCCTGTGTTCATTTCACTGCCCTTACTAAGGGCTTGCTACTTTTAGTGGTTGTGAGCAAGTTATTTACCTCTTACAGCTTTTGTTCATCAGCTGTAAAAGCAGAACAATAGTATGGGAGCTATTGTAATAGGAAAGCTGGCAATGTGGCTGACCAGTAAGCACTAAATAAACAGTAGTCATTACTATTACAAGGACTTTCCCTCCCCCAGCTATGTGTAAATACATATATTCCTTAATACTTATTTTTAAAAGCCGTTTCTGTATTCTTTCTGCCCCTGGTCATCAACTCCTTCCTAGTTAACCATTTTCTGTAGAGTTTATATATTGGTTTTTTGCAGCTGTTTCTCAGTCATGGTAAGATGTGTCCTCCTTTATTTTGGTCATGATCCAGTATGGGGATTCCCAGTTTGGGTCCCCAGATCCTCAGGGGTTCTTGTAGGTGGTTGAGGGAATTTCCAAACTAATTTTAGGATGCCAATATAGAGCAAAGTTAACGCGTGCACCAATTTTGAAATTATAAGCCCTGCCACTTAGCAGTTATCTTACCCAGTGTAAATTTCATAATCCCTAGGAGCCTCTGTTTCCTACTTGATAGTGTGGGTATATTAATATTTTCCTCATAGAAGTGTTGCATCTTAGATCGTGTATTTAAAGGTCTTAGCCCAGGACCTGGTGTATAATAAATACCTGTCTCCATTATTACTTAGTACGAAACATTTCCTTTTTTTTTTTAATGGACTGTTACTCTGTCACCCAGGCTAGAGTGCAGTGGCACAATCTCAGCTCACTGCCACCTCCACCTCCCAAGTTCAAGTGATTCTTCTGCCTCAGCCTCCTGAGTAGCTGGGACTACAGGCACATGCCACCACACCTAGCTAAGTTTTGTATTTTCAGTAAAGATGGGGTTTCACTATGTTGGCCAGGCTAGTCTCGACCTCCTAACTTCATGATCCACCTGCGTCAGCCTCCCAAAATGCTGAGATTACAGGCGTGAGCCACCACGCCGGGCTATTACAAAACATTTATTGAAAATCACACTTTTACTGCAAGATAAAGCGTCCGGTATAATTAAAAGATTGGATTTCTGCAGGAAGTAGGTGCAATTACATCAGCTTAGTTTGATGATACTGTTGCCTAATGCTAAGAACCTCTTGTTGGCAGTTATATGTGTCTTGGGTAAGTAAAAATGAATTATTATTATTATTATTATTATTTTTTTTGAGACGGAGTTTCGCTCTTATTACCCAGGCTGGAGTGCAATGGTGCGATCTCGGCTCATCGCAACCTCCGTCTCCTGGGTTCAGGCAGTTCTCCTGCCTCAGCCTCCTGAGTAGCTGGGATTACAGGCACACGCCACCATGCCCAGCTAATTTTTTGTATTTTTAGTAGAGACGGGGTTTCACCATGTTGACCAGGATGGTCTCGATCTCTTGACCTCGTGATCCACCCGCCTCGGCCTCCCAAAGTGCTGGGATTACAGGCTTGAGCCACCGTGCCCGGCCATAAAAATGAATTATTAATAAATGAATTTGGGCAGAGGGTCATGAAATCTTAGGGGTGTGGAGAAAGAAAGAAAGCAGTCTCTGGTGATAAAAAGTCACAGGCCCCATGGGTCTAGTACACTGACCGGCACTATCTGGTTGGCAGATCTCCTTTTTTTAAAAGTTTTTTGGAAATAACAAAAGTAACAGAAGGGCATTGTCACTTGGCCTCCCACAAAAGCCTTCTTGCAGGTTTTACTCATTAAGCAAAGTTTCGGTGGGATAAATATGGTTGGTGTCCAAGGCCCACCATGAGCAGAGGGGCTTACCACACACTTAACATAAAAGAGGCTCCCAGAGGGGATCAAGTCCAAAACACCACCCCAACTTGTTTTACAAATGGAGAACCAGAGGTCTAGAGCAGAAAAGAAACTTACCCATGGTGACCCAGGCATCTCACGGTGGAGCTTTACACCCTGGACCCTCACCCCTCCACCCAGCGTTGTTTCTGCGAGACAAGAATCCTCCTCCAGAAGGGGCATCACTCAGAGTGAATCACAGCCAACCAGGGAGTTCTTTGTGAACTATGTAGGCCATCTCTCCATTACCCCCACACTCTGCAACTAACAGAAATATCTCCTCTCCCCTATATATGTTAGGACCAAGAATAAAATCAAACAGGTGGAGGACACGTCAGCTAGCCTGGGATTTCCCAGATACTCCGTTGGTAAGAACTACTTGGGGGTGTCCTCATCTGGAGATTCTGGCTCAGTAGATCAGAGATGGACCTGATAATTTATATTCATAAAAACACCAGGTAATTCTTATAACCAAGCAAGTTTGGGGAAACACGGCGTGTGTAGGCCAGCAGAAGTTTCCTGTCCCAGAATGGGCTATGGGGTTGAAAGACCACTGTGAATTTCCACTTTCAATTAATGAGAGTCAACCTGTATCCTGTGTTGATTTTTTTTTTTTTTTTTTGAGATGAAGTCTTGTTTTGTCCCCCACACTGGAGTGCAGTGATGCAAACTCAGCTCACTACAACCTCTGCCTCCCACGTTCAGGTGATTATACTGCCTCAGCCTCCCGAGTAGCTGGGATTACTGGTGCCCACCACCATTCCTGGCTAATTTTTGTATTTTAGTAGAGATGGGGTTTCGCCATGTTGGCCAGGCTGGTCTCGAACACCTGACCTCAGATCCACCTGTCTCGGCCTCTCAAAGTGCTGGGATTACAGGCATGAGCCACCATACCCGGCCTCCTGTGTTGATTTCTTATGGCACCTCTCTTTTATAGCAGATCCGTTATTCCTGGGCACACGTGGCAGCTCAGAAATCTTGGCTGACCTACTTTGGGGAGATGATTGGAGCGAAACGCCCAATCTAGCCTGGGTGACATGAACATCTCCCTTTGGCTTTGTGCTTAGACTGAAGAACCTGGAGCTAGCTGCTGTGGGAGGATCAGACGTCCTCGTGAAGATGCTGGCGGCCCCTATCAATCCATCTGACATAAATATGATCCAAGGTAACCTTGGTTTCTGTGGCTTATGTTAATTGGCTTTTTTGCTCAGCTGCCACCTCGTTTTCATTCCTCCTCAGGTGTGGGTGTGAAATGCCTGTGATTAGCCGCAGCTGTTCTCCAGATGAGCCGTCTGCAGGCTGTGTCAGCCCTGTCTGGCCTCCCTTTTCTGGAATGTGAGGCTTTTTTGAGACGTTGGCAGTGGGGAGTAAAGCAAGCATTGTGAAGTGCCGGCGACATGCTGATCTCATTTTGTGTGTTACCTGATCTTCATAATAACCATGAACACCAAAGAATATTGCCCCCCTATACAGACAAGCAAGCTAAGGCTCAGAGGTTGGTTATGCAGACAGTCCAAAGCAGATCCCAGATCAGGCATAGGATGGCCTGGACTCAAGTCCATGCTCTTTCACTGCCCAGACATCACTGTTTGACCTTTTCATGCTCTTCTCCCTCAGGAAACTACGGCCTCCTTCCTGAACTGCCTGCTGTTGGAGGGAACGAAGGTGTTGCCCAGGTGGTAGCGGTGGGCAGCAGTGTGACCGGGCTAAAGCCAGGAGACTGGGTGATTCCTGCAAATGCTGGTTTGGGTGAGTTTTTCCAGGTGTCAGCCGCCTTTTTGCTCTTCCAAATGCTATTTCACCAACTGTAGACATCCACTTGGCTTAGTGTATCTGAGTAATGCAGGTTTTATTATTATGTCCATATACCTGCCTCCAGCAGGGGTGGAAGCTAAAGGAGAAAAAAATTCTGTTTGCTCTGGAGGTGATACACATGTGTTCTTATCTCCTCTGGCCCACGTTGATTATAGCTAATTCTCAGAATCCCTAAATCCCTGCTGCGTGGTACAACAGAGAATACAGTTAGATATCTGGTCCCTGCCCTCCAGGAGACTCATACCTAACCAAAGAAATATTTAAACCTGGACCCAATAATAAAGGGAGTGCTGAAGTTCACAGGAAACAGAAGGCACATCTGGCTTCTCTCTGTGTGCATGTGTATGTGTGTGAGGGAAGCAGTCTTGGGGAAGGATCAGAAAATTCCTCATGGAGAGGGCTTCATTGGACTGGACCTTTGAAGGACGAATTTTGTTTTGTTTTGTGGGGTTTTTTTGTTGTTTTGTTTTGTTTTGTTTGAGACTGAGTCTCACTGTCGCCCAGGCTGGAGTGCAGTGGTGTGATCTCAGCTCACTCCTCCACCTCCTGGGTTCCAGCAATTCTCATGCCTCAGCCTCCTGAGTAGCTGGGATTACAGACATGAGCTACCACACCCAGCTAATTTTTATATATTTAATAGAGACAGAGTTTTACCATGTTGGCCAGGCTGATCTTGAACTCCTGACCTCAGCTGATCCGCCCACTTCAGCTTCCCAAAGTGCTGGGATTATAGGCGTGAGCCACCTCACCCAGCCTCGTTTTGTTTTTTTCCAAAGTCTCACTCTGTCGCCCGGGCTGGAGCACAGTGGCAAGATCTCAGCTCACTGCAACCTCTGCTTCTTGGGTTCAAGCAATTCTCCTGCCTCAGCCTCCCAAGTAGCTAGGATTACAGGCGCACACCACCACACCTGACTAATTTTTGTATTTTTAGTAGAGAAGGGGTTTCATCTTGTTGGCCAGGCTGGTCTCGAACTCCTGACCTCAGGTGACCCACCCACCTTAGCCTCCCAAAGTGTTAGGATTACAGGCGTGAGCCACTGCCCAGCCTGAATTTTGTTTATACACAGAGATGAGCCAAAAGTCATTTCATGTGGAGGATGTAAAATGAGCAAAGACACAAAAGTGAGATTGGGAAGTGGTGGAAAATCCATTGCAGCCTCAGCAGAGGGTTTGCATATGGGAGAGGATTGCGCAAGTCAGAAAGAAAGCCAGAAAGGTAGGTTCCATCACTTGAGCCCAGGAGTTCCAGGTTACACTGAGCTATGATCACACCATTACACTCCAGCCCAGGTAACAGAGTGAGACCCTGTCTCTATTTTTTTTTTAAAAGGTAGCTTGGGTCCACATGGGCTAAGGCTCTGCCCAAGCCAAGCTAATGAGTAGGATTTTCTTTGATATATCGTAAGGAGTCATAGGTGAGTTTTGTTTTTTAGCATTTAACAGTTTTTGAGGCACATCTGTTATACACATAGATCCTCACAGCAGCTACAAGAGGGAAGCAGGGCAGGTATTATCCACCCATCAGACATAAACTGAAGCTTGAGAAGTAAAGCCCTGGCCAAACTCAAACAGCAAGATGAGAGTGCCCACTAGATTCTTTCTCCTGGGTTCCCACTACACGTACCAGTGTTAGGATCTTCTGGGTTGTAACTTACATAGTCCCAGTTCAAACTTGCTTTAAAAAAAGAAGTTGGCTAGGCATGGTGTCCCATGCCTATAATCCCAGCACTTTGAGAGGTCAAGGCAGGTGGATCATCTGAGGTCAGGAGTTTGAGACCAGCCTGGCCAACAGGGTGAAACCGTCTCTACTAAAAATACAAAAGTTAGCCAGGTGTGGTGGCATGCGCCTGTAGTCCCAGCTACTCGGGAGGCTGAGGCAGGAGAATTGCTTGAAGTCAGGAGGCAGAAGTTGCAGTGAGCCGAGATCATGCCACTGCCCTCCAGCCTGGGCAACAGAGCGAGACTCCATCTCAAAAAAAAAAAAAAAAAGAAGAAGAAGATAATGTTAAGGTTGGGCACAGTGGCTCATGCCTGTAATCCCAGCACTTTGGGAGGCTAAGGCAGGCAGATCACCTGAGGTCAGGACTTTGAGACCAGGCTGGCCGACATAGTGAAACCCTGTCTGTGCTAAAAATACAAAAATTCGCCAGGCATGGTGGCACACACCTGTAGTCCCTGCTACTCGGGAGGCTGAGGCAGGAGTATCACTTGAACACAGGAGGATGTTGCAGTGATCATGTACTCCAACCTGGGCAACAGAGTGAGACTCCATCTCAAAAAAAAGAGATGAAGTTAATTGATTTGTGGAACTGTTAAGTGTAACAGATTGAAAGCCTCGGGTTCAGTTGATCCAAAAAGTGTCTCTCACCTTGTCCTTAGATGAGATCTCCCCACATATTGATATAATCAAAGCAACAAGTACTTACTGGCCACTCTCTTTGTGCCAGGCACTGCTTTAAGCACTTCATGTGTGTTAACTCAATTGTTCCCACAACGTGAGGTGGATACTCCATCATTCCCATTTTGCAGGTTATACAACAGGAAATGCAAAGGAAAACTGTAAACTGTCAAGCAATTTGTCCAAGGTCACCCAGCCAAAAATGATGGAGTTGGAATTCAGATCCACTCTCATAGATGGCCACCAGCAGCCCGAGGTTCATATCACCCTAAAAACAAGCAAATGAGCACATCCTCCACAGTCATTTCCCCCACAGCCATATCTATCGCCCAGAAGGGCCCTGAATGGGCCTTGCCCATCTCTGAAGCAGTCCCCTGGGGTGGGGTGGGGCCTTGTGGTTGTGAGCCCCAGAGATTAGGAAGGTGCACCTGTAGAAAGAAAAAGATACCAGGCAGGGAAAAACAGTAACAGGAGTCACTACAAGCTCTTTGCTTTCTGAGCTCAGGGAGGCTGCCGAGAATGGCTCCACCATCCCCTGCACCCACCTAGTGGTGAAAGAGCTCAGCGGTTCGAGGAAATGGAGAGCTGCAAGGATTCACTGGATCCTGATGCCAGTGCTTTGGGGTAGCCCCTGTGCTGAGTGAAGGTCCTGTCAGGATGGCCAGATAGCTCCTGCCGTCAGAGTGCTCTTGGCTGGCAGTGGGAGGCCCAGGAATGGAAGAACAACACTTAATACAATACAGTAGTACAAGTGCTATAATCACAGGATTGACACAAAGACAAGAGTCCTCTATCTTGGAAAGCCTTAAGAAAAGCTACCCAGAGAAGTGATGCTCGAACTCAGTCTGGAAGACCTGCTGGAGTGCAGCCAGTGGGGCTTCCCAGGCAGGGAGCAGAGCATGTGTGAATGGAAGTGATGAGAGAAGGCACAGCACTGGTAGAGAACTACAGGTAGCTCAGGGTGGCTGGCTCCTGGGTGGGAGTGGGAGAGAAGGGAGATGGAGCTGGAAAGGTAGGCTGGGCTGGGTCACGGTGGGCCTGCATCCACTGTGCAAGGGGTACCAACGGAGAGTTAAGAGGAATGATTTGCCAGGATTTGCACAATACAGAGAATGGTCTGGAAACCATTGGTCTGGAAAGGCGGAGGGTGGAGGCAGAAAGCCAGTGAGGAGGTGGGCAAACAACTCAGGCTTCAGATAATGAAGGATCTGAACAAGACAGTGCCATAGGGCTGGAGAAGAGAGCGTGGAGTCAAGCTAATGTAACAGGACTTGGCAATACTTAGAGTTTGGAGCAGAGAAAAATAAACGGCATCTGCCAGGTATGTGGGTAATTATAGGTGTGCCGGTGTACGGGTAATTATACATGTGGCAGGGGGGTGGGTGCCCAGAACAGGGACTCCTCCCTGGAGAAAAGGTGATTCTTTTTTTTTTTTTTCTTTTGAGACAGAGTCTCGCTCTGTTGCCCAGGTTGGCGCAATCTTGGCTCACTGCAACCTCTGCCTCCCAGGTTCAAGCAGTTCTCCTGCCTTACCCGCCTGAGTAGCTGGGATTACAGGCAGCCACCACCACACCCAGTAATTTTTGTGTTTTTAGTAGAGACGGGGTTTCATCATGTTGGCTAGGCTGGTCTCATACTTCTGACCTCAGGTGATCTGCTCACCTTGGCCTTCCAAAGTGCTGAGATTACAGGCATGAGCCACCACACCCAGCCAAAAGGTGAGTCTTTTAACAAGGTGCCAGCCAGAGAGGATGAGGATTTAATAATTGTGAGGACTGCAATTAACTCAGTGTATTCAGTAAACATTTTGTGAGCACCTGCAGCATGCTGGACTCGAAGACGCAGCAGTGAACAAACATGGTCTTTCTTCTCGTGATGACTGCCATTTAGTAAGAGTGGCAACTGTTAAACACAGAAGTTCTCAGCTGGCCACAGCTTGGTCATTTTTCATGGTTCTGAGCTGCCCAGATGTTGCTAAGCCCACAGCCAGCCTTCTCCCACGTGCAGCCAATCCCAGGGGAGACTAGACCAGATGGTGTGGATCGATCTTTGCCAACTGACTTTCTCCTTGGGAAATATGCAAAACCTTCCCAAGGAAGCACAGAGCAGTAGAAAGAGCACTGGCTTTGGAATCAGGGGCAGGTTCTCTTTCCAGCACTCTATGGCCTGATGTAAGTCACAGCTACCTTGAGCCTCAGTTTTTTCATCTCGAAAATGGGACTAATAGTCACTGCCTAGTGTGTCTCAACAGACTCTTATGCAACTCAACTGAGAGAATATATGTAGTGATCTTTGCAAATGCCAAATTTCTATATGCATTAGATCAGGAGTTGGCAAAGTTTTAACTTAAAGGGCCAAATAGTAAATATTTTAGGCTTTGTAGGCTATACCATCTTTGTGGCTACCCAACTCTACTATTGTAAACAACCATACACAATATATGAACAAGTGAGGGAGCACGGCTGTGTTGCAGTAAAACTTTATTACAGGACCGGGTGCGATGGCTCATGCCTGTAATCCCAGCATGGGAGGCCGAGGCGGGCAGATTGCTTGAGTCCAAGAGTTCAAGAACAGCCTGGGCAGCTTGGTGAAAGTATATCTCTACAAAAAATTATCCAGGTGTGGTGACACACACCTGTAGTCCCAGCCACTGGAGAGGTTGACATGGAAGGATAGCTTGAGGCCAGGAAGCAGAGTTTGCAGTCAGCTGAGGTGGAGTCAGCGCACCCACACTCCAACCTGGGCAACAGAGGAAGATTCTTGTCTCAAAACAGAAAAACGCTATTTACAAAAACAAGTGGTGAGCCAGATTTGGCCCCCAGGCCACAGTTTGCTGACCCCCAAGTTAGATAATGGAGATGGTTAAGGGTCAGTTGCATGTGAGTGAGGACTTGGGAATCCTCAGAGCTAAGGTCTGGGAATTAGTATCATTAAAGAAAAACGATGTGTGTTACACACCCACTGTGCACAAGACGTTGTGATAGTCTGTACAAATGTCATTTAGTTTAATCTTCACACTATGATATATGATGTGTGTTACACACCGACTGTGCACAGGACGTCGTGATAGTCTCTGTACAAATGTCATTTAGTTTAATCTTCACTTTATGATATAACGATGTGTGTTACACACCCACTGTGCACAGGACATTGTGATAGTCTGTACAACTGTCATTTAGTGTAATCTTTACACTATGATATAAGTGTTATTCTCTGCATCTCACAGATTAGGAAAATGGAAATTCAAAAAAAGCGAGGTGATCATTCAGAGTCACCCAACAGTGAGTGGCAGAGCCGGGGTTTTTAAGCAGGTCTCTCCAACTTCAAGCCTAAGAGTTCTACTTGAAACCTGAAAGCCCTAGTCTCTGACCATGGGTGCTGCCCCCCTCCCACCCAGAGTCTCTTGAGAAAAGGATTAGGGACTCCTAAGCCCCAGAAATCCATATCAAGGGCTGGATTTCCATTGTCGTGCCATATGGGGAATTAGAAAAGACCCTGGATATCATACATGGAAAGCCCTGCACTAAGCATTTGGTATGGCGTAGAGTGCAGTAAATGTTAGCTGAGATGAATGGGAACAATGATTTGAACACCAGTCTGGGGGAAGCCCACAGGATGCTGGGGCACTTCTGGATTCCGGAGGGATCCTTCGCCTTTTCAGTCTTATTTTCTCAGCCATAGACCTACTCTAGGATTGACACAGCCTTTAATAAAAAGTGTTCCTGCCTCCCATCTCCAGTTCCTGGTCCCTAAAGCTCACATTGACATCCCCATTTCCTGTAGCACAATTAGTGATTACCCATCCTGCCCCCTGCTTCCCACAACTGAACCGCGTAGGACCAGGACACCATGAGAATCCCAGCAACGGGATAGTGAGCAGGCACACCTGAGAGCTTTAGAAGCATAGGCCAACGGCCCCAACCTGCCACAGTGACCAGACACTGAGCCAACAAGGCTCCAGGTAATTTCCCTAAGATGATATAGTGAGGACACAGTGGAACAAAGGCTGGAGTCTCTCTGCCTGACTCCAAGGCCTACCCTCTTCACCTCTTCTTCATACAAGGCCCTGCCTGCGTGAGTGCAGATCCTTCACCCAGTCCTCACCAAATCCTATTGATTCTATCTTTAAAACATAACTCGAATCCATCTTCTCTTCCTTATCCCCACTGCCAAAACCCCTGTCCAGGCAGCCATCACCTCATACCTCAACCCCCGCAAAGACCTCCCACTTTCATGCTTCCCCTCCCCACCCCACAGTCTTCACCTAGCAATAAAGTGATCTTAAAGCAGACATCAGATCATCTCAGCCTCCTCTTAAAGCTTGTTAGGGGCTTCTCACTCACTCATTCACTAAAACAAGATCAGCCCTCCATACCACGGCACCGAGGTCATGTTTTTGTACTGCAGGTTGTGACCCATTCGAGAAATCAATCTAGTGAGTTGCAAATAGCACTTTTTTTTTTTTTTTTTTTTTTTTGAGACGGAATCTCACTCTTGTTGCCCAGCCTGGTGTGCAATGGTGTGGTCTCCGCTCAGTGCAACCTCCCCCTCCCGGGTTCAAGCGATTCTCCTGCCTCAGACTCCCAAGTAGCTGGGATTACAGGCATACACCAACACACCCGGCTAATTTATTTATTTTTTATTTTATTTTTATTTTTGAGACAGAGTCTTGCTCTGTCACCCAGGCTGGAGCACATGGCATGGTCTTGGCTCACTGCAACCTCCACCTCCCGGATCCAAGTGATTCTCCTGACTTAGCCTCCTGAGAAGCTGGGACTACAGGAACATGCCGCCACGCCCAGCTAATTTTTGTGTTTTTAGTAGAGACAGGGTTTCACTATGTTGGCCAGGCTAGTCTCGAACTCCTGACCTCGTGATCCGTCCACCTCAGTCTCCCAAAGTGCTGGGATTACAGGCACGAGCCACCACACCCAGCCACCTGGCTAATTTTTGTATTTTTAGTAGAGATAGGGGTTTCTCTTTGTTGGTCAGGCTGGTCTGGAACTCCTGACCTCAGGTGATCTGCCCACCTCAGCCTCCCAAAGTGCTGGGATTATGTGCATGAGCCACTGCTCCTGGCCAGCACTTTTTAAAATGAAAGTTGAGCACAAAAGAATAAAAAGTAGCAGAGTACCTCACACATAGTAAGGGTAAGTATTTTGTGAAACACGGGCTTATGTTACATACATATTCATGTATGTATATGTATGAATTCACAGCGGAACCCATGGTGACTGTGGGTCAGGATTCTGAAAGTCTTAACATCGCCTGCCCAGCCTCTGCCGCATCAGCCAGGCCAGCCATGTCTCAGGCTGCTCTTCCCGTCACTCTCTGCCCTGCCGTGCAGTCATCCCATCCCAGTCCTGTGTCTGTCCTGCTGCAACGTCTGCATTAGCTGCATCCCCTGCCTACGGTGTTCTTTGTATGCTCTGAGTGGGTAGCACCTCGATCTCTTGATCTGGTGATCCACTTGCCTCGGCCTCCCAAACTGCTGGGATTACAGGCATGAGCCACCTTGCCCGGCCTTTTTTTCTTTTCTTTTCTCTTTTGTTTTTTGAGACAGAGTCTTGCTCTATCACCCATGCTGGAGTGCAGTGGCGCAATCTTGACTCGCTGCAACCTCCACCTCCCAGGTTCAAGTGATTCTCCAGCCTCAGCCTCCCGAGCAGCTGGGATTACAGGCACGTGCCAGCACGTCCAGCTAATTTTTGTATTTTTAGGAAAGACGGGGTTTCACTGTGTTAGCCGGGATGGTCTCGCTCTCCTGACCTTATGATTCACCTGCCTCGGCCTCCCAAAGTGCTGGGATTACAGGCGTGAGCCACCGCGCCCGGCCCACTTCTACTTTCTTGCTTTGTTCCCTAAAACCACCTGAGTCAACCTGCCCTGGTTGAGAAGAATGAAGACTGTATAGGAAAGGGGGGTTTTCTCAGCTTCTCCTGCCCTGGTGGTAATGCTACTAGTATCTTACCCTTAGATTGCAGTAGTTTGAGGTCGTTAACTACCTGCACTGTGACATTAGCTATATCTATTGGTAAGTCAGAGAAGCAACCTCTCTGAATCACCCATACAATGGCATTTGGAATTTTTTGTTTTGGTTTGTTTTCTGTTTTTTGAGTTTTTTTGAGGCAGGGTCTTGCTGTGTCACCCAGGCTGGAGTGCAGTCACACAATCATAGCTCACTGTGTCTTCGAATTACTGGGCTCAAGCAATCCTCCTACCTCAGCCTCATGAAAAGCCAGGACTACAGGGGAATCCATTATGCCCAGCTAATTTTTTCTTTTTAATTTTTTGTAGAGACAAGGTCTCACTGTGTTGCCCAGGCTGGTCCTGAGCTCCTGACCTCAAGTGGTCCTCCCACAGTGCTGATGTGATAGGCGTGAGCCACCACACCCCATTTTTACTACATGTAAATTTTTAAATCTTCAAAGCGGTGTGGTGAGGTTGGTATCCTCGTTGGTTAAGAGCTCACGCTCTGGGCAGACAACCTGGGTCTGACCCCAGGCTGCACCTTTCACTGACTATGAATTCACCTCTCAAATCATCAGATTTTTATTGTGTAAAATGGAGATAAAGACTAGTAGTAAGATAGTTTAAGATAAGATTACCTATTTTAGGTCGGGCACAGTGGCTTATGCACGTAATCCCAGCACTTTGGGAAGCCAAGGCAGGAGGCTCACCTGAGGCCAGGAGTTCAAGGCCAGCCTGACCAACAAGGCAAAACCATGTCTCCACTAAAAATACATAAATTAGACAGGTAGAGAGGTGCACACGTGTAATCCCAGCTACTCAAGGAGCTGCGCTATGAGAATCACTTGAGCCCAGGAGGCAGAAGTTGGAGTGAGCCAAGATCGCACCATTGCACTGCAGCCTCGGCTATGGAGCGAGACTTTGTCTCCATAAAACAAAAAAGAATAGCAATCTATTTTGCGGAATTATCACGAGGTCTCAGACATTCAGAGGAACATCCAGATTTTCTTCTTTTTCTAAGCATTACTTGAAGTCCACTATCCTGGATGCCCATTCACCAGAGAGGGTGAGCTGGGGTTGAATGTGCACAGGGCTCCTTCCTTATGATTCTGGCCTCATCCCCTGACTCAGGAACCTGGCGGACCGAGGCCGTGTTCAGCGAGGAAGCACTGATCCAAGTTCCGAGTGACATCCCTCTTGAGAGTGCTGCCACCCTGGGTGTCAACCCCTGCACAGCCTACAGGATGTTGATGGACTTCGAGCAGCTGCAGCCAGGTAGGAACCGACAGGTTGGGGGAGCAGGCCAGGGTCTCCCAACTGGGGTGCCACCCAAATCCTGACCCCAAGGCCAGGAGAACTTGCAAGGTGAAGGGTATGAGGGGGCAGTGGACCCCTAACCTGGGTGAATGTTGTTGCTTTCACTTAGAAAGATGTTAGCTTGGTTCCTAGAAAACATGCTGAAACCTCATGAGGAATACACTCTCGAAAACTGCAACAGGGTCACATTCTCTAGAGCTTGGGATTGAATTCTCTCATTCAGCAAAAATGCGTTGAGCTGTGCTAAGCTCTGGGGATACAAAGCCAGACAAGATAGATACAGTCCCTGTGTTTTCAGTAAAACGCTGAACTTAGTGTTAATAATTCCATTCAGCATTTACATAGCACGTTTGAGTTCACATAAGTGCCTTTGCAGGCATTATTCCCATTGAGTGCATTAAATCTTCAAAGCAGTGCGGTGAGGTTGGTATCCTCATTGGTTAAGAGCTCACGCTCTGGCAGACAATCTGGGTCTGACCCCAGGCTGCACCTTTCACTGATTGTGAATTCACCTCTCAAATCATCAGATTTTTCTTGTGTAAAATGGAGATACAGAGCATGGAGGGTGAAAGACTGCAGTGTAACACGGAACACAGTGCTGGGCAAACAGTGCAGAGACGTTCCACTGCTTTTACTCTTCTTTCTGTTCATAAATGGGGAAGCCGAAGTCCAGAGAGGTAAACTATTTGCATGAGATCAGCTAGCCAAGTGTTTTATTTGAGTTTCCCTGAAAGCAGAGCCAAAGACTCGGACTGGGTACAGACAGTTTGTTTGAGAAGCAGAAATGAGTGGGAGTGGGGAGAGCCAGATAGAGATGGTGGTAAAGCTTATGAAGCCCAGTTACTGCTGCAGGCAACTACTCTCAGTCTAGTTTTTGAGACAGAGTCTCGCTCTGTCACCAGGCTGGAATGCAGTGGTTCAATCTCGGCTCACTGCAACCTCTGCCTCCCAGGTTCAAGTGATTCTGCCTCAGCCTCCCACATAGCTAGGACTACAGGTGGCTGCCACCATGCCTGGCTAATTTTTATATTTTTAGTAGAGACAGGCTTTTGCTATATTGGCCAGGCTGGCCTCGAACTCCTGACCTTGTGATCCGCCCACCTCAGCCTCCCAAAGTGCTGGGATTACAGGCGTGAGCCACAGCGCCCGGCCTGCTTAGTCTTGCTGAGGGCCCTCTGAAGACTCCCATAGACCCCACCACAGAATTAACTGTCAAGGCTGGGCAAGGCTAGGTGGTGGTGAGTATAGATCATGCCACAGTACTCCAGCCTGGACAACAGAGCGAGACTCCATCTCAAAAAAACAAAAAACAAACAAAAAAAAGAACCCTTGAATGATGGGAGGCTGGGACAGTTTTCCACTAATTCTCATGCCCTATGTTTAAGGGTTGCCCTAAGGGCATTAACCCCCTGGGCTGCCTCTGCACACTATGCACATCCCTGAGCCTCGGTGACTGTAGAAATCACCCAAGCCACCTCTTGTGCCAGTAAGGAAACTGAGGCGAAGAGCTGTTGGAGTGTGATGAAACTTGGTGCCCAGCCACTGGCGAAGGCCTGGCTAAAAGCCGATGCCAGCTCCCACAATGAGAAATACAGGTTTCTCAGAACTGTGTCAGAGGGGCCCTGGGAGCCTTTGGTGGAAAAAACCAGTGTCTGTGACCAGGGACCGTTGCTGGAGTCCTAGTGCAGCAGACGCTTTGTTTGCCTGCGTCCCATGCCCTGAAGCCACCTCCCATTTGGGCTGCAGCTGTGGTAGACAGATCTAGGCATTTCAACGCTGCCCGCCCTGAGTCCCCACTGCGCATCGCTCCACTTCACTAATTCAAGGCTGATGCAGCACAAACTAGAGCAATGTTGAATAAACTTAGCATCTTGACACATGGTAAGAAATACATTTTACATTGTGATCAGTTTATACAAATGGTAATATATATATATATATATATATATATATATATATATATATATAATAGAAACCAAAGTTTCATGAAATACCCTTACTATGTGTGACATACTCTGTTATATTTTATTCTCTTCTCAATTTCAACTTTTAAAAAAATGCTGCAGCCAGACGTGGTGGCTCACACCTATAATCCCAGTACTTTGAGAGGCAGAGGCAGGCAGATCACCTAAGGTGAGGAGTTCAAGACCAGCCTAACCAACATGGTGAAACCCCATCTCCACTAAAAATACAAAAATTAGCCGGTCGCAGTGGTGGGTGCCTGTAATCCCAGCTACTCAGGAGGTGAGGCACGAGAATCGCTTGAACCCGGGAGGTGGAGGTTGCAGTGAGCCAAGATCGCACCATTGCACTCCAGCCTGGGCAACAAGAGCAAAACTATGTCTCAAAAAAAAACTGCTGCTTGCAACCAACTAGATTGATTCATAATCCACTAGCGGGTGACAACCTGTATATTGACCCCTGGTGAAGAAGAATGGGCATTCTTCTTCCAGGAAGTCCTCTATCTCTAGTTCCAGCCCATTGTGTGACACATCCCTGCTGTCTTTCAAAAACCAGACAGTATTTCAAAGTCAACAAAGCACTTTCCCGGCCCCGATACATCTGACTCTAATCAGGGGCATCCTCATTGGTGCTCCCAGGACTGCCATTTTAAGGGAGGGAAACTGAAGTTCACAGAGGTCATGACTTGCCCCATCCATTTAGTCTCAATCATTAGTGAAACTGAGACTCACACCCAGGTCCGTCTCATTCCAAAGCCCACATTTTTCCCAGCATGCCACAGTGCCTTCCCCCATGGCCAGGTCCAAAGCGAGACCTGGGCTTTGCCACAAAACTGTAGGACCCTGTTTCAGGGGCTGCCAGTTTCTCCAGAGCAGCTCTAATCCCATTTCAAGGCAGTGCGCCTTGATTAAACACTGCGGAGGGGAATAGGGCATGGCCCTTCCCTCTCAGGAAGCTCCAAGCTGCTGATAGAAATGGACCTATATACAACGAAGTGTAAAGATGGGACAGACCATGGTATGTGCATTAATAGAGAGGCCCACAGAGCACGGTGGGAGCACATAGAGGGAACAATCCAGGAAGGCTTCATGAAGGCTGCACGTGAGCTGTGCTTCAAAAGATCTGCAGGATTTCAGTAGGAAGGAAGAGAGAAGGAGGGAAACATTGCAAACCAAGGAAATAACCAAAGCATACTTGAGGTCATAAAAGTTGGGAGGGCTGGGTGTGGTGGCTCACGCCTGTAATCCCAGCACTTTGGGAGGCCGAGGCTGGTGGATCACTAGGTCAAGAGATCGAGACCATCCTGGTCAACATGGTGAAACCCCATCTCTACTAAAAATACAAAAAAAAATTAGCTGAGCACAGTGGTGCGGCCTGTAGTCCCAGCTACTCAGGAGGCTGAGGTAGGAGAATTGCTTGAACCCAGGAGGCGGAGGTTGCAGTGAGCCGAGATCACGCCATTGCACTCCAGCCTGGGTAACAAGAGCGAAACTCTGTCTCAAAAAAAAAAAAAGTTGGGAGGATGATGAAGGCTATAAAATCTTACACAGCAGGGCAGGGTCCAAGTTATGTCCAGTGTAGATGCTGAGTTGCCAAGTCCTGGGAGGCATCGTGAGTGTTGTGGAAATTTAGGAGGCTGCCGGGTGTGGTGGCTTACGCCTGTAATCCCAGCACTTTGGGAGGCTGAGGCAGGTGGATCGCAAGGTCAGGAGTTTGAGACCAGCCTAACCAACATGGTGAAACCCCGTCTCTACTACAAATACAAAAATTAGCTGGGCGTGGTGGCACACACCTGTAATCCCAGCTACTCAGGAGGCTGAGGCAGAAGAATCGCTTGAACCCGGGAGGCAGAGGTTGCAGTGAGCCAAGATTGTGCCACTGTACTCCAGCCTGAGCAACAGAGTGAGACTCTGTCTCAAAAAACAAAAAAAAAAAAGGAAGGTTAGGGGGCATTAGGGAAACCATGAGAAACAGTGAAATTCTGAGACGACTCAGCAGCCGGGTCCTGGGTCTCTTTTTTGAGCCTGAGGACTCCCATCTCTTGCCTACAGTAAGATCCCTGACTGGGAGCCCTTGACCTATTGCAGAGCCATACAGGGCTTGACTTGGGTCTCTTCCTGGCTCCACAGGGGATTCTGTCATCCAGAATGCATCCAACAGTGGAGTGGGCCAAGCGGTCATCCAGATCGCCGCAGCTCTGGACCTAAGAACCATCAATGTGGTCCGAGACAGGTGCGTGGGGAGGAGGCTTCATCCCAGACCACGATTTGGGCCTTTCCACCTTCCGTCCCTGCAGTGCCCACCTCTCCACCAGAGGGCGCCCTTGCGTAAGCATAAACTGGCCTTAGGATTCACTAACAGTTGGCGGCTGAAACAGATGAGTCAGCCCCAAGAAATGAAGTCCAGCTGGCTTTTGGCGCTAGGATGAGTGAATCTGAAATGTAAAGAGAGAGCAGGAAGGAGGTGGAGACTGCCCTTACTGAACAGCTAGGACTTTTTGAGACTCTTGGCTTGTGATCACCTCATGTTTTCAAAACCCCAGTTCATATTTGGGAATGTTTTGAGCTGTATTATTCTTTCTGTGAACTGTCTACCCCAAGGCACCCTTTACCCTTGCTTTTGAGTGGTACTTGGAAGTGCACTAAATACAGACATGAAGGAGACGGGGCAGGTTTGTCCTCTGTCTTTCACGGATGAGGAAACAGGTTTCCGAGAGCAGCTTGCTCTCACAGACACAGCAAGTCAGTGACAGGCTCGGTGTCCTCACTTATTCTCTTTCCATCACATCGTCCAGTTTCTCTAGGCCTCATTGTCCGTGAATGTGGCTGTGGCTGTCAGGAAGCCCAGTCCTAGTATAATTGACATCAGCTTTAGTTCCTCAGTTGTACTAACAAAAATCATTCCTTGGCCAGGCCCAGTGGCTCACGCCTGTAATCCCATCACTTTGGGAGACCAAGGCGGGCAGATCACAAGGTCAGAAGATCAAGACCATCCTGGCTATCACAGTGAAACCCTGTCTCTACTAAAAATACAAAAAATTAGCCAGGCGTGCTGGTACACACCCGCAGTCCCAGCCACTCAGGAGGCTGAGGCAGGAAAACTGCTTGAACCCCGGAGGCGGAAGTTGCAGTGAGCCAAGATCACACCACTGCACTCTAGCCTGGGCGACAGAGCAACACTGCATCTCAAAAAAAAAAAAAAAAAATCATTCCATTTGCCTTAACCAGAGAGGTCCAGTGCCACTCCCGGGCCTAGTGTGTTTGCACAACCCTTTGAAGATCCTCTGGAAAAGAGGGAGAAAGTGGAGTTTGTCTTTTTAGTAGAAGAAATCAGGAAGTTAAGTGACTTCTTCCTGGGCACAGATGGCTTCTAGCACTGTTGAGCTGTTAGGGACTGTGGAAACCACCCAGTCTCACTCTGTTTCCAGTGAGGAGGCAGCCAAGAGCTATTGAAGCCAGATGAAATTAGGTGGCTGGTCCCTGCTCAAGCCCATCTTAAACCTAATCTCGGCTTCCTGCAAAAAAAAAAGCATGGGTTCTCCCAGCTGTAGCAGAGGGGTCCTGGGAGACTTTGGTGGGAAAAGCCGGCAGAAGTGACCAGGGACCTTGGGGACTATGTTTGCTTTCCAGACCTGATATCCAGAAGCTGACTGACAGACTGAAGAGTCTGGGGGCTGAGCATGTCATCACAGAAGAGGAGCTAAGAAGGCCAGAAATGAAAAACTTGTTTAAGGTACCTAGGAAGAGGGATATTGCCCCTCTAGTCCACGCACGTCTCCCTAAAGAAAGTTGGCATGCATTAGAGAAGCTGGGGACTGGCCCCATTGTTCCTCTCTGGAAACCTCCCTTTGCCTCTTCTCGGTCAGTTAAAGCCCATTACCCCTAGCCAGCAGCAGGCAGCATGCATTCAGTGCCCAGATGCTGGGAGGGAGGCCTGAGAAACAGACAGAGTTTAGGACACCCAGTATGACTTGCAGCTTTAAACGTTTGTGGTGGGCCACATCAGCCCACATGTGTGACTCTTAGAACTGGCAGGAGAGGACCTGAGGAAACAGAGACATAGCAAGAGAAGAGAAGAAAAGAAGTAACTGCCTGCCTTACATTTTCTCTGATAATTTCCACAAAAACTCTTTAAAGGAGCTGTTGTTTGTTTTATTGGTGAGGAAACTAGGACTCAGAAAAGATGAAGTGCTTGGCCAAAATCATATTGTTTATAAGGGGTAGAGTCAGAGCTGGCCTCAGTCTCTCTGAACTCAAAAGCCTCTTAACTTTCCAGAACCTCCTCCCACAACATGCCTCATAAGTGACCAAACCCTCAGCCCTTTTCACTGAACCATCTGGAGGAACCAAAGACGCATACTCGAGAGCATGCACTTCTCGCAAACATTTCTGAAGCAGTACATCAGCATATATAATATCAACCAAGTCACAAGAACTGAAAAGGAGGGCATGCGGGGAGCTGAAGCCCAGCAGACTGCATGCGGATCTCTTTCCTTTCTTTCCCAGAGAAGATGAGTTCTGCCAGGTTCTGAAGCAGACAACAGGATTAAGTTGCTACAGAAAAGGCCCTTCTTGGCCGGATGAGGTGGCCTCACACACCTATAATCCCAACACTTCGGGAGGCCAAGGCAGAAGGATGGCTTGAGTCTGAGAGTTTGAGACTAGCCTGAGCAACATAGTGAGAACTCTATCTCTACCCAAAAAAAAAAAAATTTTAATTACCCAGGCATCATGATAGGCATCTGTAGTCCCAGCTACTCGGGAGGCTGAGGCGGGAGGATTGCTTGAGCCCAGGAGGTTGAGGTAGCAGTGAGCCATGATTGCACCACTGCACTCCAGCCTGGGTAACAGAGCGAGACCCTGTCTTAGGAAGAAAAAGAAAAAAAAAAGAAAAGACCCTTCCTAAGCAGAGAAAAAGGTGGGTTCAAAGGCATAAACACACACACCATAGACGCGTGCATGCACACACAAAGACATAAACATCTCATTTTATTTCCTCCCTCCTTCTAACACGGCACTTGGGCAAGGGAGGTGCTGTTTGTAGCAAGGTCAGACACCATACGTAGAGGGGCCGCTCCCTCACTGCACATTTGTTGCTTTCCAGGACATGCCCCAGCCACGCCTTGCTCTCAACTGTGTCGGTGGGAAAAGCTCCACAGAGCTGCTGCGGCAGTTAGCGTAAGTCCCTCAGCCCTGCAGGTCCAGCTCACCAGAGCTCTCCAAGTCTTTAGCTGGGAAGAACATCAAGTGACCGAGTCCCAGTGGCCGGTTCAAGCCAAGGCCAGGTCAGCACAATGCAGAGTGGAAACTAGGACCAACGTCATCCAGCTATTTGGGCACTGCTTTCTCAGCCTCCATCCTCTGTGAATGACCAAAAGGCCTCTCCAGCTTTATTTTTCCAAGGGACCCAGAAGTAGACTGCTAAGCTGTCTGCCATCAAGGATTTATAACCTAGGGGTGTCTGAAAAAGTCACTTAGTCCTAGCTTAACCTTTCAAAATTTGTATTAGCCTTTAAAATAGATTCTAATTTTAAAGGTAGCATTATGTTTATTACAAAACATTTTGAAAACGTGTAAAAGTGCAAAGGAAAACTTAAGCATAAAAGTTACTCGTTGTGGCTGGTATGGTGGCTCATGCCTGTAATCCCGGCACTCTGGAGGCCAAGGTAGGTGGATCACCTGAGGTCAGGAGTTCAAGACCAGCCTGGCCAACATGGTGAAACCCCATCTCTACTAAAAATACAAAAATTAGGCCGGGCGCGGTGGCTCACGCCTGTAATCCCAGCACTTTGGGAGGCCGAGGCGGGTGGATCACAAGGTCAAGAGATCGAGACCATCCTGGTCAACATGGTGAAACCCCGTCTCTACTAAAAATACAAAACATTAGCTGGGCATGGTGGCGCGTGCCTGTAATCCCAGCTACTCAGGAGGCTGAGGCAGGAGAATTGCCTGAACCCAGGAGGCGGAGGTTGCGGTGAGCCAAGATCGCGCCATTGCACTCCAGCCTGGGTAACAAGAGCGAAGCTCCGTCTCAAAAAAAAAAAATACAAAAATTAGCTGGGCATGGTGGTGCATGCCTGTAATCCCAGCTACTCAGGAGGCTGAGACAGGAGAATTGCTCCAACTCAGGAGGCAGAGGTTGCAGTGAGCCGAGATCACACCACTCCACTCCAGCCTGGGCAACAGAGTGAGACTCTGTCTCAAAAAAAAAAAAAAAAAAAAAAAAAGTTACCTGTTGGCTGGGCACTGTGGCTCATGCCTACAATCCCAGTACTTTGGGGGGCCAAGGAGGAAGCATTACTTGAGGCCAGGAGTTTGAGACCAGCCTGGATAACATAGTGAGACCACATCACTACAAAAGAATTTTTAATTTTTTTTAAGTTACCTGGCCAAGCATGATGGCTCTCGCCTGTAATCCCAACAAGACGGGCAGATCATTTGAGGCCAGGAGTTTGAGAGCAGCCTGGCCAACATGTGAAACCCTGTCTCTACTAAAAATACAAAAAAATTTAGCCAGCCATGGCGGTGCACACCTGTAATCCCAGCTGCTCGGAAGGATGAGGCACAAGAATCGTTTGAATCCAGGAGATGGAGGTTGCAGTGAGCCAAGATTACACCACTCTACTATAGCCTGGGTGACAGAGGGAGACTCCTTCTCAAAAAAAAAAATAGGCCGGGCGCAGTGGCTCACACCTGTAATCCCAGCACTTTGGGAGGCCAAGGTGAGTGGATCACGAGGTCAGAAGTTCGAGACCAGCCTGACCAATATGGTGAAACCCTGTCTATACTGAAAATACAAAAATTAGCTGGGTGAGTGGTGCATGCCTGTAATCCCAGCTACTCGGGAGGCTAAGGCAGGAGAATCACTTGAACCTGGGAGATGGAGGTTGCAGGGAGCCGAGATGGCACCATTGCACTCCAGCCTGGGCAACAAGAGCAAAACTCCATCTTAAAAAAAAAAAAAAAAGTTATCTATCACCCACCACCAAGGGGGATAAACCTGTTGACAATATTAACAATGCATGTCGGCCGGGCGCGGTGGCTCAAGCCTGTAATCCCAGCACTTTGGGAGGCCGAGGCGGGTGGATCACGAGGTCAAGAGATCGAGACCATCCTGGTCAACATGGTGAAACCCCGTCTCTACTAAAAATACAAAACATTAGCTGGGCATGGTGGTGCGTGCCTGTGATCCCAGCTACTCAGGAGGCTGAGGCAGAAGAATTGCCTGAACCCAGGAGGCGGAGGTTGCGGTGAGCCGAGATCGTGCCATTGCACTCCAGCCTGGGTAACGAGAGCGAAACTCCGTCCCAAAAAAAAAAAAAAAAAAACAATGCATGTCCTTCCATTCCTCTTTCCTTTAATATAAACTTCTTGAGCTAGAGTGTATGTAAGAAGACAGTTTCTAACTGAAGCAGGAACCCCCCTTAATGGCATGGATTCAGCTAGCACATACTTTCTGAGCACTTGCTAGCTACCAGGCAGAGAGGGGGCTGTGACACTGATGTGCCCTCTGAGAACTCACAGGCCAGATGAGCAGGTGAGTCACATAGTGAGCATTCACCGTGCACCAGACTGTGTACAGTGCTTGACTCACCCCTCCCACAGCCACCTAGACAAGGGGTACAGTTCTAATCTCTGTTTTATACTTTAAAAGATGAGGCTCAGGCCAGGCGCGGTGGCTCACACCTGTAATCCTTGCACTTTGGGAGGCTGAGGCGAGTGGATCACCTGAGGTCAAGAGTTCTAGAACAGCCTAGCCAACACGGTAAAACCTCCTCTCTACCAAAAATCCAGAAATTAGCCAGGCTTGATGGTGGGTGCCTATAATCCTAGCTATTTGGGAGGCTGAAGCAGGAGAATCGTTTGAACCCAGGAGGCAGAGGTTGCAATGAGCCAAGATTGCATCACTGCACTCTAGCCTGGGCAACAAGAGCGAAACTCTGTGTCAAAAAAAAAAAAAAGAAAAAGAAAAAGGCTGGGCTCAGTGGCTCACACCTGTAATCCCAGGACTTTGGGAGGCCGAGGCGGGTGGATCACAAGGTCAGGAGTTTGAGACCGGCCTGGTTAATATGGTAAAACCCCATCTCTACTAAAAATACAAAAATTAGCCAGGCGTGGTGGTGCGTGCCTGTACTCTCAGCTACTCCAGAGGCTGAGGCAGGAGAATCACTTGAACCCAGGAGGCGGAGGTTGTAGTGAGCCAAGATCGCGCCACTGCACTCCAGCCTGGGCAACAGAGCAAGACTGTCTCCAAAAAAGAAACAAAGGCCCAAAGAGGTCAACTACCTGGCCCCAAGTCTAGTCAGCAGGAGAGCCAGGCTTGACCCCACATTTGAGCACACCGCTTCAGCTCTACACCAGACAGCCCCTGTGGCAGACCCCAGTCCCAACGTCATTGCAGGCGGAAGTGTTCTGCCGTGGTAACGGATGTAGGCACTGGAGTCAGAATGGCAGGGTTCAAGCCCCAGCTCTGTGACTTACTAGCTGTGGACCTATGAAAAGTTTTTTTGCTTTCTTTTTCTTCTTCTTTGTATTCTTTCTCCCTAGACTGCTCAGCAGGAGGACCTATGAAAAGTTAAGCAATACGTGAAAAATAATCCGGGCCTCCATCTCTATCTGTAAAATGGGGGTTCTGTAAACTCTCGCCTTTGGAGGGTAGTCTAATGCAGGGGTCCCCAACCTCCTGGCCACAGACTAGTACCAGTTCATGGCCTGTTAGGAACCCGGTCACACAGCAGGAGGTGAGCAGTGGGTGAGTGAGCATGACCGCCTGAGCTCTGCCTCCTGACAAATCAGTGGCAGTATTCGATTCTCATAGGTGTATGAACCCTATTGTGAACTGCACATGTCAGGGATCTAGGTCCTGTACTCCTTACGAGAAGCTACTGCCTGAGGATCTAAGGTGGAACAGTTTCATCCCAAAGCCATTCCCCGCCTCTGGTCCATGGAAAAATTGTCTCCCACAAAACTGGTCCTGGTGCCAGCAAGGTTAGGGACCGCTGGTCTAAAGGACACCGAGGTGTTATACAAATTGCTATACAAATAAGGGATGGTTTTCAGTTTTCTCATCTCTAAAGCAAGGTTGTTACGAGGAATCCCTGAGGCAGTACATGCAAAATGCTTTGAACTGTGCTGGCACGTAGCAGAAGCCCGGTGAGTGTTAGCTAGTCCAATTAGACCAAGTGCAGCAGGGATACCGAGGAGAGGGGGCTTGGCTCCCAGGAGCTACTTTCTACAGCAGGTGGCAGTCGAGGGGCACTTAAGACCAAGCTACCCAGCAGCCTCAGGGACAGAAGTACCTGCCCCAGAACAGCAGCAGCTCCTGCTATTTGGTAGTTTTCTTTTTTTTTTTTTTTTTTTTTTTTTTTGAGGCGGAGTTTCGCTCTTGTTACCCAGGCTGGAGTGCAATGGTGCGATCTCGGCTCACCGCAACCTCCGCCTCCTGGGTTCAGGCAATTCTCCTGCCTCAGCCTCCCGAGTAGCTGGGATTACAGGCACGCGCCACCATGCCCAGCTAATGTTTTGTATTTTTAGTAGAGACGGGGTTTCACCATGTTGACCAGGATGGTCTCGATCTCTTGACCTCGTGATCCACCCGCCTCGGCCTCCCAAAGTGCTGGGATTACAGGCGTGAGCCACCGCGCCCGGCCTTATTTGGTAGTTTTCAAAGTCTGCCTTGTTTTGTCCCAAAATGTGCCTGAGGTTATCCTTTGAATAACAGACTGCTGGAAGAGCCAGAGAGTGGGAAGGAGAACATAGGTTAAGTCAAACATGGGAACTCCAGGCTTATTCACTTAAAAATTATATTAGCCTCACTCCTGTATGTCAGCTGAAGTGGGGGTGTGGGTGTCAGAAAGCAGGTACTGAGAAGGTGCCTCCTGCAGTAGGGGACACTGGGCAGTCGAGGGACAGGACACTGCTCTGTCCACATCACTCCTTGTCTATAGAGCTGTTTCCTCAGGTTGATTATTAGAATAAGCATTGACAGATGAAGAGACAGGTCTAGACCATTTTCACTGCATCACCCAAGGTCAGACATCTGTGAGAGCAGAGGCAGGGCTGAACTCAGGCCTCGAGCTCATCTGGGGAGAGCATGTTTCTTTGCAGCACTTAATGAAAGCCTCACTGGGCGGGTTAGATCAGTGGATTCCCTCGCTGGCTAAACATCCAAGTCATCCAGAGGGTATGTGTATATGTGGGTGTTTAATATACGTTCTTGTCTCCTGATTCACTGGGTCTGGGGTTGGACCTAGGAATCTGTTTTGTTGTTTTGTGTCATATTGAGATGATCTTACTCTGTTGCCTAGGCTGGAGTGCAGTGGTGCAATCTCAGCTCATTGCAGCCTTAACCTCCCAGGCTCAAGTGATCCTCCCACCTCAGCCTCCTGAGTGGGACCACAGGCATGTACCACCATGCCCAGCTAATTCTTTTTAATTATTTGTAGACACAGGGTCTCACTATCTTGCCCAGGCTGGTCTCGAACTCCTGGGTTCAGGCAATCCTCCTGCCTTGCCCTCCCAAAGCACTGGTATTACAGGCGTGAGCTGCCGTGCCCAGCATTTATTTATTTATTTTCTGAGATAGGGTCTCATTCTGTTGCCCAGGCTGGAGTGCAGTAGTGTGATCAGGGCCTCAATTTCATGGACTTAGGTGATTCTCCCACCTTATCCTCCCAAGAAGCTGGGACCATAGGCATGCCACCTTGCCCGGCTAATTTTTTGTATTATTTTTGTAGAAACAGGGTCTCCTTATGTTGCCCAAGCTGATCTTGAACTCCTGGGCTCAAGTGATCTGCCTGCCTCAACCTCCCAAAGTGCTGAGATTATAGGCATGAGCCACCACACCCAGCCCAGAGTCTCGATTTTTCAACCCTTCCCAGAGATTCTCAGAGCAGGGTTTAGGAACCAGGGCTGGAGTAGAAGCACCATGGTGGGTTCAGGAAGGCTCTGTCTCTGCTTGGCACCCACTCTTTGTTCTCTTTGGACTCTTTAGGCGTGGAGGAACCATGGTAACCTATGGGGGAATGGCCAAGCAGCCCGTCATAGCCTCTGTGGTAAGCTGGTCGGGGAGGCATGCCTGCAGCCGGGCCGGACACCTCAGCCAGGCCACATCCCCTGGCATGACAGCTGTCTAAACTTAGGCAATGCCTCATCCCTGGAGGGGAGTCGGTACCCTTGAGCGGTGCCTGGAATTCTTGCCCTCAGAGCCCAGCATGTCCTTTCTGTGTCCACAGAGCCTGCTCATTTTTAAGGATCTCAAACTTCGGGGCTTTTGGTTATCCCAGTGGAAGAAGGATCACAGTCCAGGTAAGTGCATGGCCCAGTGCAAAGAGTCACAGATGAGGGCAGTGCCTAAGAAGGGCAGCAGAAATGACTAGCTATTCTGAACCCTGGAGTGGTGACTGGGTCTCCAGCCCCACAGAAGGATCAAGGAGAATAGCCTTAGCCCAGCTACAGTCAGCAAATAGTTATTGGACTAAACTGGGTTATTCTTGAAGGCACAGAACAGCTCCTGAAGAGCTGACAGTGGGGAAAGACAGTGAAGCAAAGAGAATAGACTCTGGAACCAGCCTGCCTGGGTTCAAATCCTGCTTCCACACTACTGGACAGAGGTTCTGCCTACCCAGCGGTGAGACCTTAGCAAGTTACTTAGTCTCTCCCTCAGTTTAAGTGTCATAAGTTTAAACTCTTGTTAGGCGTGTTTGACAGAGGAGGAAATTGAGGTTCAGGGTTAAGTAGCATGGACAAAGCCACCTCCCCGCAGGGAGGGATGCAGCCGGGATGTGAACAGATCATCTCCCTGTTCTTTGTCTCCTGGAGGACTGGCTCCCCAGAGTGGGAACGCCAAACCCAGGACAAAGAATACTACGGAGTTACCCAGGTGAAGGGGAGGAAGGTGGTGATGTGAATGCAGTGTTGCAGGCAGAAAAAATCAAAATTGCATGTGCAGCTGGGCACTAAAGTGGTTCCAAGCAACCTGGAGCACTAGATCTGAGCTGGGGCTGGGAAATGGGGTGAGCTGGTGAGTGGGAAATGGGAAATGGAAATGTGACCAGGTTACCAAAGGCCTTAGAAACCTGATTAAGGCATTCAGACTCACTGGGGTTTTTTTTGCTGTTTTGGGGGGTTGGGTTTGTTTTTGAGACAAGGTATCACTCTGTTGCCCTGGCTGGAGTACAGTGGTGTAGTCACAGCTCAAAGCAGCCTCAACTTCCTTGACTCAGGTGATCCTCCCACCTCAGCCTCCCAAGTAGCTTGGGGGAGCACCACCACATCTAGCTAGTTTTTGTATTTTTAGTAGAGATGGGGTTTCGTCATATTGCCCAGGCTGGTCTCAAACTCCTGGCCTCAAGTGATATACCCGCCTCAGCCTCCCAGAGTGCCGGGATTATAGGCATGAGCTACTGTGCCCAGCCAAGACTGACACTCTTTTTTTTTTTGAGACGGAGTCGCTCTTGTTGCCCAGGCTAGAGTGCAATGGTATGATCTTGGCTTACCACAATCTCCGCCTCCTAGGTTCAAGCGATTCTCCTGCCTCACCCTCCCAAGGAGCTGGGATTACAGGCATGTGCCACCATGCCTATCTAATTTTGTAGTTTTAATAGAGATGGAGTTTCTCCATGTCAGGTTGATCTTGAACTCCCAATTTCAGGTGATCCGCCCGCCTTGGCCTCCCAAAGTGCTGGGATTACAGGCGTGAGCCACCATGTCCAGCCAGGACTTGCTCTTTTTTTTTTTTTTTTTTTTTCCCCGAGGTTTCCCCTTTTTTTGCCCAGGCAGGAGTACAATGGTGTGATCTCGGCTCACCGCAACCTCCGCTTCCCGGTTCAAGCCACAGCCTCCCAAGTAGCTGGGATTACAGGCATGAGCCATCACGCCTGGCTAATTTTTTGTATTTTTAGTAGAGACGGGATTTCTCCATGCTGGTAAGGCTGGTCTGGAACTCCCGACCTCAGGTGATCCACCCGCCTCAGCCTCCCAAAGTGCTAGGATTACAGGCATGAGCCACCACGCCTAGCCAGGACTCATTCTCAAAGGTACTTCTTTAAATGGAAAAACACTTCTCAGCCAAGGCCTTCGCTTCCCAACTTCTATACCATATAGGGTCCTTCAGAAAAGGCAGGCCCAGGGAGACGACGTTGGTGGCCCTGGGTTAAGGGAGTCCTGGGCTCTCAGGGAGAGCTGCTTTCCCTAAGCAGAGCTCATCCATTCCACATCACTTTGGCGTGCCATGCACACCCACTCCCTCCCTGCACCTCCTCTGGCTTCCTTGCCTCAGTTCATCCTGCTTCTCCCATCATTCACTGCCCCTGGCTCCACCGTGGCCAGGTTCTGTGGGTCTGTGCTGTCATAGCCAGCACTCTGAAGGGTGGTCTCTGCCTGCCTGCCCATCAGCCCCTGGAGCCACTCCTATGTTCCTCTCTCCCCACCTGGACCTCATTGTCCTAAAGACAGGCAGGGACCGGGCTGCACACAGCCACAGCCACCCTATCCTTGGCACAGCCAGGACTCTCAAGGCTTTATTGGAACTTGATGCCAGCTCCTGCTGATAGGGCAGCCCATGCCACATCCCACCAAGCCCCAGCTGCTGTTCCCCTGTCTGATTTCCTCCAACCTCCCACAGACCAGTTCAAGGAGCTGATCCTCACACTGTGCGATCTCATCCGCCAAGGCCAGCTCACGGCCCCTGCCTGCTCCCAGGTCCCGCTGCAGGACTACCAGCGTGCCTTGGAAGCCTCCATGAAGCCCTTTGTGTCTTCAAAGCAGATTCTCACCATGTGATCATCCCAAAAGAGCTGGAGTGACATGGGAGGGAAGGAAGATCCAAGGGGCTGGGTGCAGGCCCCTCAATCGGAGCTCTCACCTTCCCCAGACTACTGCCCTCCTCACTGCCTCTTCCAATTAGGAGGATAGTGAAGCCAGCCACAGTTTTCCCCAGGGCCAGCCTTAAGGTATCTAATAAAGTCTAAACTCTTCCCCTCCAAAAAGTAGGAGTCATCTCTGTTGAGAAGGACCATCACTACTGCACTGGTCAGCTCACAGCACCAGGAGGCCCCCTTCCTGCTTTTCTGTCATGTGTGCCGCTAGTAATCATTTTCTGACCACCCTGAAAGGAAAGCCTGAGTGGGCACTGGCAGTGCAAAGGCCAGTAGGCCACCATCCCTGCCCTCAGTCTGCACAAGGCCACAGAGGAGGATCCTGTAGAATGAATGGTTTGCTTTGCTTCTCAGGTAGTGTGCGGCCCAGTCCAGGGCATGGGGAGGATCCGCTGCACGGAAGAGTGAATGCCAGGCTGAGGTCATCAGAACCCTGAGGAACAAGGACATAGGGTCTCCACTGTTGTGGAACTGCCATTCTCACTGGGGACATAGACAATATCCCAGTGGTTCTCAGCCAGAGGCAATTTTACCCCCAGGAGACATTTGACAAGGTCTGGGGATATTTCTGGTTGTCACAGCTAGGGAGGAGGTTGCTACTGACATCCAGCAGGCAGAGTGAGTGATACTGTTAAACACACCACAGTTCACAGAACAGCCTCCTGCAACAAAGAATCACCCAAGGCCCAGCGCAGCGGCAACACCTATAATCCCAGCACTGTGGGAAGCCAAGGCAAATGGATCACTTGAGCCCAGGAGTTCAAGGTCAGCCTAGGCAACATGGTGAAACGCCGTCTCTGCAAAAAATTACAAACATTAGCCAGGCATAGTGGTATTCACCTGTAGTCCCAGCTACTTTGGAGGCTGAAGTAGGAGGATCACTTGAGCCTGGGAGGTCTCGACTGCAGTGAGCCGTGATCATGCCACAGCACTCCAGCCTATGCAATAGAGCAAGACCCTGTCTCAAAAAAAAAAAAAAATTTAGCCCCAAGTGTTCCGTGTTCACGGGGTCATTGATAAACCCTGCATTAAACAGTCTCACAGTAATTACCATAGTGACTAAAGCTGTAAAGAAGATACGTGGGGTGCTATAAGAGCAGAATCAAGGTCTTGCCCCAGGCCCCGGGGTCAGGTGCTTCCTTGAGGTAAAGTTTGAAGGTGGGCTCTGACAAATGAGTGAGCTTTATTCAGGCAGAGGGGAGAGCTTGACGTGTGACTTTCTGGTATTTCCTTCATGATCCACGTGCCCAAAGCAAAGAACAGGCTTCAGCGTGTCTCCCCTATCGCCTGGCCCTCTGTACCCTGCACTCAGGAGCCTCATTCAGGATGTACCTTTTTGAGATGGAGTGTCGCTCTGTCACCCAGGCTAGAGTGCAGTGGCGCGATCTCGGCTCACTGCAACCTCCGCCTCCTGGGTTCACACAGTTCTCCTGCCTCAGCCTCCTGAGTAACTGGGACTACAGGTTCCTGCCACCATGCCTGGCTAATTTTTATTTTTTTAGTAGAGGCAGGGTTTCACCATATTGGCCAGGCTGGTCTTGAACTCCTGACCTTGTGATCCACCCGCCTCAGCCCCCCAAAGTGTTGGGATAACAGATGTGAGCCACTGCACCCGGCCCAGGATGTATTATTGGCTGCCTAGTGTGTGCCCAAAGCTAAGGATACCAATGAAAGAAGTGCTGCTGGCCCTCAAGTTGCTTCGCCTAGTGCAGCATTAACCACTACAGTGTAATGATGAGGTCACTGACATGGAGGTGTTCAGAGGGCCTTGGAAGGACACATAGGGGCCCCAGTTCTGCCTGAGGGCACCAAGGAAGGATTCCTAGAGGAATTGTCTTCCACAGCCAGTCTTGAAAACCAAGCAGGAAACAGTACCAAGCAAAGCCGACAGCACATGTGATCGTTTGGAGGCCTGAGGGAGCCTGACACTTGGGGAACTACAGACAGGTGAGTGTAGCTGCTGCCTTAGAAGTGGGGGAAATGTGAGAACTGATGTGGGCCCCATGGGTGAGGGTCAGATCACAAAGGACCGTGATGTCAGGACTTACCCTGAAACCCTAGGGGGGCACCGGGGGATTTCAGTCAGTGGATCGATATGGAAAAACTGGCTCAGAAGGTTTAATTGCATGCCAGTTTGTACACGGACTCCCAAAACAATCATCTTTTCTTTGGGAGCATCTTGTTTATCCTCTGGAGAAAAGGAATCAGGTTCAGCCTGGGGCTGGGAAGGTCTGCATTGCCCTCTGGGTAAAATTTGCCACCTTGTGGGCTCAAGATCAGCCCCAACTCCTTCCTGTTCCCCTGTCCTTTAGGTTAGTGGGACCAGTGATTGTACAGATGGTCAATGTAGGCAAGTGAAAAAAGCCTAAAAGGAAGGGGAGGCTGCCAGACACCATAGGAGTGAAAATTAAATTAGGTTCTTGCCTGGCACAGTGGTTCACGCCTGTAATCCCAGCACTTTGGGAGGCCGACGTGGGTGGATCATAAGGTCAGGAGCTTGAGACCAGCTTGATCAACATGGTGAAACCCCGTCTCTACTAAAAATATAAAAATTAGCCAAGTGCAGTGGTGCGTACCTGTAGTCCCAGCTACTCGGGAGGCTGAGGCAGGAGAATTGCTTGAACCCAGGAGGTGGAGGTTGCAGTGAGCCAAAATCACGCCATTGCACTCCAGCCTGGGCGACAGAGCAAGA